TTCCCATCCTTGTCGGATCTTGCTCGATTTCAGGGTTTGGCCGATGAAATGATTAGCTTTCGGTATCCAAGCCAGGTAGTTCCAAGGCGATGTCAGGCTTTATAGCCTTTGGTTCGACCAGGACACAAACTAAGCTGCAGTTGGCGTTAATTATTATTGAGTATAGTTGGATTCCAGTGAATAAGAATGTGGTAAACTTACAGTTGGCATTCCAAATTCTCAACGACTGAATGTTTCGCCCCTTTCTCAACTGAACAACCAACTGGAGGTTCCTAGTCCCCTTAAGCATGCCTAACTGCTGTAATGATGACAGACAGATCAAAGGGTGAACTTAACCATAAATTCAGTGTATTCAGTTCTAAACGTCACTTCCAGCCCAGGTCCCAACCCTCGAGAGGCGAAAGGCGATCCCCTTTTCCCCTCCTGTAACAGGATGTCAAAGCCTGTTAGCAACCCAATTCTTTGTAAAGCTTGCGAATATACTAACACGCCTCCTCCTTTAAAACTGCTCCTCGACATGTTGGATGAACTTCAGCCAGATTGTAGCTCATTCATAACGGCCGCCCCTTTTCCCAATGCAGATCGTGGACAGGGTGGTCAGATTTTTTGGGAATGCAGGAAGCAAATTTCTCGTCACAGTAAACATTCTGACGCGTGGCCCTCGCTATTACCCCGACAGAATTCGGGGACGGCTTCCAACGAAAGAACGTCAAAGCCCACGGTGATTCGATGGTGAAACCTGGACAAGGAGAATAGCAGACGCCCCGCGAGACCAAAAGAGTACAGGTCTATGCATCTGCTGTTATCTGCCAAGAGACGAACTCTTTCTTTGCAAAAACGTTTTCTTGAGATATCTCGCCAATCAGAGGTCCTGGGACCTCGTGAATTAGTTCATCAGAGTCTGGATGGACACCGATGGAGGCGCAAGCCTGGAAGACGGGCGGATGCCTGACGGCTCCCCCGGGGACTTCGGCGAGGAACTGGGAGAGTCGAAAAGCACGATGGCAAGCACCCAGAGGTGATCATCGAGGACAGAGAAATTGCCGTGAACAGCCACAACCAGATTCTAGCCGAAGATCCAAGAGAAAGACCTTGATCCTCTACACCGACGGCAGCGGGATCGAAGGAAAGATTGGAGCGGCGGTGATAGCCAACCTGGAGGAAGGATACGCTCATAGCCAGATGGGCGACGAGAACACATCCACGGTGTATGCTGCCGAGCTTCGCGCCATCGAAATGGCCCTTGCCTCGGTCGTGAAGAGCACGGAGCCGTGGGCTGCACCGGCGAAGAACGGGATCGTCATCTTTGCAGACAGTCAAGCGGCACTAAAGGCGCTTCGACGGCCACGGATGCCATCAGGGCAAATCTATCTGGCTCGGTGCCTCGACTCAATCCAGCGACTCACAGCGCAAGGCACCCGAACTGAGCTCAGGTGGATCCCTGCTCATCAGGGAGTGGTTGGCAATGAGATTGTCGACCGACACGCAAAAGAAGCGGTACACAGTGTGCACAGAGGAAAGGAGTCAGTGTAGTTTTCTCTAGTTACGCAAGACTTAGTGACTAACATTAGGAATCACGGATATTGAGACCGACAAAGCCTAGGGACAGTGGTTAGTGATGGTTAGTGATGGTTAGTGATGGTTAGTGATGGTTGGTGATGGTTGGTGATGGTTACTTTGCCAACTTTTCGCCTTAGGCACTCTGGCTAGATAGCCATTTTAGTACCTAGCAGCATCCTCTTTTTGCTTCAATGTCAGTGTCCAACAGCAGATCCCGCCATATCTTCGATCACCCTTGGCGTTGGTTCTGAGATTCTGGAAAGAGTAATCGAAAATTATCATAATATAGAATTTGCAGCCAGATTAAGACTTCCATCATCTATGCATAGCGCGACGTGATGCAAATTTGTCTGGCTACCATCCGGATAACACACTCCAGTTCAGTGTAGGCATCCACACATGGTCCAGGCGGTTTGACATACTCCGTAATCGCCGCAGTATTTTTGGCGCGTCTTCTGCAGCCGGCTTTAACCCACCACTCCAATTTGAAGTGATCGCCACGCCATTTTGGAGAGCTACAGCCGATCAAGACGACATCTAGCCACGAGACTGTACATACACCTTATCCACATCTGCCTGGTCTTGGACAATCTCCGGAATATTTACCATGTAAGAAGTTTACATACAGCCATATTAGTATTTGGGTTCGCTGACCTAGGTGCTAGTAAGTCTGGAGGCGTTCAATGATCTACATAGTATCTTGACTTATAAGACAATTTGTCAATACAGCTGGATGCAATACCGCTGCAAATGTGTATACTTCTGATTTCTTTTCTGAAACCTAATCTAAAACGGAGCTAAACTGTAAGTGGCATGTGCATGGAATATCTATCACCCGTGTAATTTACTAGTAATGTACAAACTGTAATCTTTTCTGTCTCTGTATGCTCAATCGGTATGGAAGAGAGTTGTTCCGCCGACTGTGGACCTACGGCCCGGATATGACATCATGGGCACTTCATTAAGCAACGACACCCCTCAAAGACTTCAAGCCATGAGAAGTACCTGTACATGCCTCTGGTTCCTTTTCTCTTGGCTTATGTTCGTCACAGGAATATTATGAATCCTACTATGGCGAATTTAAACAGCCTTCCTTTTGAAGTAATATTGATGATTTTGGATTGCTTCAAGGATAATTTAATGCTGTTAAGCGTCTCCCTTGTGTCCAAAAGACTATGCACCATAGCCCAGCCACGCCTTTTTAGGGAAATTACCTTAAGCTCTTCAATTATTCTCCCATTGTTGCTCCTGCTCCGAACAGTCGTCAGTTGCCCCGATCTAGCAGCACATGTGCTGTCCTTAGAAATAGATGACGCCGTGGACTCAGATGAGGAAAGCGAGCCCGACAGTCTAGCGAATTTTTCCCAAGCGAGGAAACAGCATACTGTTCCACTTGACTTTTGGGGAGCAGAAGTTGCTGTCATGACTGAGGAGGTTAGAAATCTCAACATCCCATGGCAAGATGCAGCTCCATCCATCCTAGAGACGACCGACGCAGGCATTCTTTCTATATTGCTCATCTCATTCACACCAAACCTCTACCATCTTTCCATCGCTGTGGATCATCGTCACCTTGATTTACTACTTAATCTAGCCAAGAGGCTAGGTGATGGCGTTTCGAGACCTCTTAGCTTAGGAAGTTTACGGTCCTTACAGCTTGAGTGTCTCAAAGATGGCCATAGCTCTAAAGTAACCTTTAGAGACGTGGCTTTGCTCCTTCCTCTGCTTTATTTAACTGAATTTCAGCTTAGTGGTTGCGCTGGATACAGCTGGGAGGAAGCTACTCAGTCAAGGCTACTTAGTGTGCTCGACAAGTCACTTTCCTTATCAACCATCTCAGTGATACAGAGCGATTTGGACGCAGCAAGTATAAAAATGTTATGTCGCTCCTGCAAAAGATTAACTGCCTTTCACTACGACGAGTGCGATATGGGAAATGAGGAGCTGAGCCATCAACAATTACACTCCTCTTTGCGCTCCCAGAGACATAACCTGGTAAATCTACGGGTTGGCCTCAGCAGGAATGATCATAGCAGCGCTGTCATTTCAACAGATGTCCAGAATAGCTCCTTCCTAGAGTATATCAACGCGAAGTTTATGGGTCTGGATCAATTATTCCTTGGCATTTTACCTCAGCTGCCTTCTTCACTGGAACACCTAGCGATACAGTACTGCCGAGTCCCTGTGCTCCAGACGTTGACTTTTGTGGCAAGCCAAGCTAACCAAGGTCTTTTACCGGCAATGAACTTAATCTCCCTTCACAGCGACATCTGCTACCCAGGAGGGATGCTAGGGTTGCCAGCAAGAGGAGCTACTGATGTCCTTTTTAAAATAGCATGTCAGGACTTACAGAAGCTATTTAAAGGGACGGGGATCACATTACGTGTTGAGAGTAATCTGCTTGAGAAGACAGTGCAGGGCTATGATTTTGAGTACAACCATGGCACTCCTGGCGCGTTTTGGCCATTCATTCACCTCCGATAAACAGGACTCTGCTTTATACAGCGGTGATTCGTATATAGCAGTTGGAAAAAATTATGCATCTCCGAGCTAGGCTGCGCATCCATTGGAAGAGGATCCCTAACCACTCAAAACCATGTCATGGATAACTCCAGGTAGATGGGGCTAGGTTGGGGGCTATCCCTTTTACCTAAGGAGGACGATCGACGTGGCCCGATGGATACGTTCGTACGTGTGGATACAGGTTATGTAAATATTTCGCGTCATTGAATGGCCAGTACCATGCAATACAGAATCCTGTAACGTTACCCAGAACACCTGCCTAGGTCTACTTATAGATAGTAAAGGAGATAATAGTTAAGTAAAGAAGAAGCCCTTATATTTAAGCTAGTAATAAAGGTACTAATAATAGGCTATAAAGAGTCTAGTTATTATAGAATTACTCTCTTACCTACTAATTACCTATACTTATCTATACTATTAGATAGTATTACTTAGCTTACTTTTACTTACCTATACTTACTCTACAGTTTAGTATCTCTTACCTATAAAGTAGCAGGCCTTTAAGGGCATATATAACTTCTGGCTGCATTGATAATACTGGCTTAAGTATGGCTGAGTGGATAGGAAGCCCTGTTTTCCATACCCTATGGTCATATGTGCTAGATACATTCATAGCAAGGGATATATACGAAGTCTGAAGGGGTCTTTGCCTCAGTTCAAACCCTGACAACATACTCCACAAGCTGTTGTACGCGATGCAATCAAAGTGATGAATACTTGTGTGAGCGACCCCTCCGAAGAGCAGTAGTAGCTTTTGATATTTATCACGATAGAACAGACCAACAACAGCCAAACCACGGATTGTCACTCGGGACATTGTGTTCAGCAACCATGGCACACTCTGCAAGTATCATGACCTATAGAAATATAATACCAGTCCGGACGATGTACTGGTCAGTAGGGCTTGATATCCATACCTAATCATAGTGGTATCTTATTCCAACATGACCGCACATTGAGCAGCGACCGGCGGCCAAATGCGCATTATCCCGGCAATAACATACACCACAACGCCAAAAGCATCCTCTCGCCGCTTCAAGAACTCCAATAGGCGGGGGGAGTCTGACGTTATATGCACCGTTCATCAACAAAAGGTCGACGACACCTTGCCATCCCCTGAGTTTCGCCCAGTCCAGGCTGGACCTATCACTCGCATCAACCGCATTTGGGTCGGCGCCAGCCTTCAGCAGTCGCTTGGCCACTGCAAGGTGGCCACGATACGATGCCACAATCAGCGGAGTGGAGTGATTGCGGCCGCCGTACGATTCAAGATTGGCGCCATTCTGGATGAGTTTGTCTACCACGGGTAGCAATGCAAAGGATGAAGCATAGTAAAGTGGCTCTGTTGCTAGAGACGCGTCCACCGGGGCCTCCAGTAGCAGTACTTGGACCCAGGACGTATAGTTTCCGCCATTCGGAAGGCGATGGGTGCCAAAGAAGCCCAGAATGGCCTCTATCTCTTGGCCCGGGAGAATGAATCCAGCTGGTGCTCGAGAGCCGCAATATAGAGGCCAGTTCTGGGCGGCGTACTCCAGCAACGGGAAACTGGAGAAGCGTCTTTCAAGGGACTCGAAATCAGCGCACGGTTGGCGGAAGGCGTCCATCGTCAAGTACGTAAGGCATTTCTTGTAAATGCGTTGGGTGGCTTCGATCTCGTTCAGACTGTAGAATGCGGCGGGCCCCCTCTTGATGGCTTCCGACGTGAGGAAGCTATGGACGGAAGAGTGGGCAAGACTGACGGTTGAGGTGTTCTCGTCGTAGACTATCAATCCCTGGCAAAGGGAAACGATGATGGTTGGATCGAATAGTCGACATTCGTCGGCGAGATGCCGGTCTCCTTCCTGCAGTGCCAGGGCATCAGTCAGCGCCGGCAGTGATAGCTCTTCTCGGCTGTATGTGATCCAAAGCAGCGCGTCCCTGACCAGTTCGCGATCGTGAGGAGGTATCCGACAAAGGATGAATTTGTAAGTGCTATTCAAGCTCTCCGGTATGGTTTCCAAGGCTTTGCTGATGTCTCTACCTGTTCGCTGCACGCTCAGCAGGTCCAGCTGGCATTGCACATATCGGAACCTAGAAGAAGGTCAGCAGATAAGCTGAAGTCGAGGCTCGTCAAAGCCGAGGTTCGACCGTACATTCCATTTGCATTCTTTGTCAAAACAGCTGCAATTTGATGCTTGATGTGTGACGGCAACCGGCGAAGAGTCGACCGTGATTCTAATTGGGTGCTCAAGAAATCCCGAATATCATCTTGGTTCGTGGACGGCGTCATCTGTACTTTATGAGCATTAATGTCGCTCGGTATTGCTGGAGTTGTCGTGCTGGTCACAAAGAGATGTATGTTGTCGGACGACCGTAGCAAAGTCAGCAGGGCGTCCGCCATGTACTCAGCCTCCTGGCTTTCATTAATGGCATCCACAATAATGAACAGTCTTTTCAATCGACGTCCATATCTTAAAAAGATCTCAATCAGTCCACCCGGAGTAGGAATAGCTCCCTGGTGGAAGCCCACCTCCAGTTCGTCGAGGATTTCTGGGAAGCTTTCGGTTAGCCATGGGTCAATCAAGTGTTGTTGCTCACGAAATTGAGGGTGTCGGCTTAAGTTTCAGGATTTAGAGGAGGGGCTGGATTGAAGCAAAGATCTTAGCTGTAGGTTGACAAGGCTGAGCTTGCTTGACGCACTGCGCAGCCTCGCCAATAGTAAGGAACAAATCACCTTTGGCGAAGAGTACCTACAAACCAATACGAGGTAGAAGGCAAGTACATCAACGGAACGGACGCACTTGTATGAGAAGCCCTGTTTTCCACACCCTGTGGTCGTATGTGTTTGTTTATAACTAAGATCCATATAGTAATAGGCTGATCTGGATTGAGCATTACTGCATGTTGGATGGAGTAAATGAAAGCAAAAGGACTTACTAGTCTTTGTTCCCAAAATCAGGCAAAGTATACACCACCGGCAGTAAATCAGATTGTCTGTAAATTACCTCAACTTAACAAGAGAATGAACAGGCATGGTAAGCTATTCCGGTGCAGCTAGCAAACACTGTCTACGCCGGCATGATCCCGCTTCATCAACTCTTTGAGTAGAGCATCGTTCTTGTATGTCTCCAGAGCCTTTTCTTTCCAAGTTTCCCATTCCAAGTCCCCATCAACGTCAATGGCTTTACGGAGGCCCTGGAAGAGGCAGAGGAAACCCTTCCAGTCAGCAAGGTCGTACCCACAACAGAATTCAAACCGGTGAAGGATCCGCCCGTTTCGCACAATTTCGGCAAGATCTGGATGCACTCTATTTTCCAATGATTGGGCAAAGGCCAGCTCATCCTCCCCGGGGTGATTTATTCCGTCATAGAAATCAGCCACGGGAAGAAGCAAAACTGGAGAGTTGAAAGCTGCCGATTTCGAATCCGTATGCGCCCATTCCCAGTCGACAACTCCTGTGATGTTGTAATCATCGTCAACCAGGAGATGGTCACCTTTGTCATCTGCATGCCTCAAGTAGAACTGGTCGGGTTCAGGTTTAGCATGTAGAAACACGGAAACAGCGTCCAAGGGGAAGCGATGGATCAAGAATGCATCAATTGCTCGATCAGCATATGACTCTCCCCTGATAATGAGATCCAGCGTGAATTGTATGCTTGAGACAATGTATTCTTGGCGAGAGGTGAAAGGACCAAGGGTACGCATCTGCGAGTCAATATAGTCCATTAACGATTCCCGTGCAAAAGGTCCCACATGGTCGGTGCCAGGCTGGTCCAAAGAGCCCATGGAATCAAACGGAAACGCTTTTAGTTCCATGTAAATGTCGGCTAGCTGGCTTATAATCTTCTTCCTCTGTTCTGTGGTTGTCAGAGACCATCGTAGCGACTTCCCGGGCAATTTCTCCATAAGGATATATTCGACGCCGATAGGATTCGCTTGCTCCAAATTATAATCGAATACTTTGGGAGAGGGGATTTTTGTCTTGCTCAGAAACTGAAGCGTTGCGACTTCGCTTCGCAAGATGTAGCCTCGAATATCTGGCGGCGGGGAAGTGGCATTAAATCTTCGAATGCGCGCGAGCCAGCTGATTCCGTCTTCAAACTGGATTTCGATATGATAATTCATGCCGCCCATCACCGAGGTACGCTTTGCATGATCATACTGAAGCGACTGCGGTAAAGAGCAGCGAACACCTTGGCGCAAATGGCTTGCTCGAGCGAGGAGTGCTGGGATGTTGATTTTGTTCAAGAGTTTCGTAATTTCCTTCTGCTCTGCTTCTTGAGCGATAGGGTCGTATAGCCGTTCATCCTAAGAATCGATAGTTAATTAATGCTTCGTGTAAGATGGCGCCGTTTTACTCACTTCCCAACTAGGGCAGCTATGATATTTTGGGCTCAGATGTTTGGCGCAGAGATGGCGATCACAGATGATGCATTGTCCATATATGCGAACTGACGGTTTGCCACAGTTTTCAAAATCGCAACTCCACATGGCCATGCCAGTCATCTCTGCAGTTGGTTAGCTGTGAGGAATGTAGAAGGAATGGAAAGGACTGACCAGTTTGATCCAGTGTCTAGACAGCAACAATGGAAGCTAGTTCCCAAACAGGTCAAGAGGTGACCTTGTATGCTATGCCATTGCCCAATCTCCAAAGGATTCAATGTACCGTGCAATACTGCCATCTCACTGACATATTGCTAGGAAGAAACCGATCCTCAAGAAGGAGCTCGTACCTGTCTCCGTGTAACTGACAAAATACCAGCAGAATAGACAGACAGTAATGAGACAGAGACTAGACAGATGTAGATCCAAGACCTCATCTCTGTACCTACACAGCAAGCAGATACAACCGCTGCTGACTGCAACGACCCAAGTAATGATATAGCTGTGTTTGGCTTGTGTAGCCAAAATTGGTGCTGACATTCAATCAGCTTGCCGGGCTAGCTCAATCGGTAGAGCGTGAGACTCTTAATCTCAAGGTTGCGGGTTCGACCCCCGCGTTCGGCTTTCTTTTTGCTTTCCTTTAGATTTTTATATTCCACCAGCCGTAAGCGAGGCGAGGGGCATTTTCTGACCGGAGAGTAAATTCAAATCGCTGGTCCTCTTTACTTGCCGTTCAAGACAGAAACAGTGGATGTCTCTTAATCCAGCCCAGTGTAGTCACTGCTTTACTGCCTCCATGATGTTTCCCGTTTTGACCAGTGGCTCGATGTATATTGTCAGTTAGCCGCAGTTATTATGCTGCTGTATGCATAGATGAATCTATACTCCGAACGGAACAATGCTTTGCAACTGCATTAGTTAGATGCTATCCCATTCCCAGTAGAAAGTTTCCAGGTGGAAGTATAAGTGGCCTAAGTGTGTTACCAATTCGCTGCATCGTTTCAAGGTCTATCACAAACTTCCAATCAATCATGGGATCCCTTGACTCTAAAACCCTTGTTCTTATCACGGGTGCCAATACTGGCCTAGGTGAGACAACATCGCCCAACTGGCCACAGGAGCTCATGGCAGTATAGGATTTGAAGTAGCAAAAGTTCTCTTTGCCCGCCCAGATCCCTACCACATCCTCATCGGATGCCGGGGTGCCATCAGTCGCGCAAGCGACGCCATATCCAAGTTGAAGCAACTTTCGCCCAGCAGCTCATCCACCGCGGAGCCACTATCCATTGACATCACGTCGGAGGAGTCCATAGCTACAGCTTTCAAGCAAGTCGAGGAGAAATTCGGCCATGTCGACATCCTGGTGAACAACGCTGGTAGTTTCCCCCTTGACCCATGGAATATCACCCATGTTGATATTCTACCCCACAGGCCTCGCCCTAGACACAGCGGTCACCTCGGGCCAACTCAGCGTGCGCGAAGGCTGGAACCAGACATACAACGTCAACGTCACCGGCACCCACCTCTTCACCTCCACCTTCGCGCCCCTCCTGCTCGCCTCCCAGGCCCCGACCCGTCGCCTGGTCTTCATCACCAGCGGCCTGTCGTCCATCACCGAGCACGCAGGCGGCATGAGCCCGCGCTACGCCCTCGCGCCGGCGGGCTGGCCCAAGCCGGACACCCTGTGGCTCCCGTACCGCGTGAGCAAGGCCGCGATGAACATGCTGGCGACCGAGTGGGCGCGCCTGCTGCGCACCGACGGGGTGGCTGTGTTCAACGTGTCGCCGGGGTTTCTGAACACTGGGCTGGGAGATAACCGGGCCACGGGCGAGTGGAGGGACAAGAGTGTCATGGGGGCGATGGATCCGGCCGTTGGGGCCGCGTTCTGTGCGGATGTTATTGAGGGGAAGAGGGATGAGCAGGCTTGGCCTCCGAAGGTGATCCGGAAGGACGAGGTGCAGCCGTGGTAATCAACGTCATTGGGCTATTGGAGTAGGGGGCTTTCCAGAATTACCCGAGCGTGTGGTCGCATGATTTTCGGAATATATTATCGTCGGTGCACATACATATTGGCGTATTACTCCGTTCAACGCTAGTTAAAACGCCGCGGGAATGCTGTAGTGCCGTCTTAGCTGCTGCATATATCTGCATCTCATGGCGTATCGGTAGCGGTTTAGATACTTGAGTCTCGCCAGGTGCAAAAAGAACGTAAGACACTTGTCAAAACCAGACCAGGCCGACAACTCACTGCCGCTCACCAGCAATATGGGCAGCCTCAGCGGTTCTCCGGCCATCCCAACAGTGGATATCAGCGCATTCCTCGACCCCCACTCTTCGGAGGAGGCCCGCCAGGCCGTTGTCGAGGGCGTGAGCAGTGCCTGCCACACATACGGCTTCTTCAATCTCACCGGGCACGGCATCCCCAAAGACGCCCTAGAGGAGGCCTTCGAGGTCAACAAAATGTTCTTTGCCCTGCCTCAGGAGAAGAAGATGGAGGTTTGGATCAACAAGTCTGTCGGTCGTTCGTTCAGGGGCTACGAGCCCCCTGGCATCCAGACTCACCAGGAGGGCTTGCTGCCCGATACCAAAGAGGTGCGACAGCCAATAAATACCCCAACTCCAAGCCCTCAGAAGCTAAGTGACCTCTTCACAAGACTTTTATGGTCGGCAGAGAAGTCCCGCAAGATGATCCCGACTGCGGCACCTTCTCGACCGGCCCAAATCTGTGGCCCTCCAGCCTGCCCAAGGACCAGTTCCAGGACCGCGTCATGGCCTACCAGGGCAGGATGCTCGAGCTGGTCGGGAACATCCTCGACATTCTTGCTCTGGGACTGCCCAAAGAATGGGGGTGCCCGCCGGACGTATTCAACTCGCTGCTCGAAAAGCCCTCAATCCCAATGCGATTCCTGCACTACGGGCCCGTGCAGGCCCAGGACCCTCGCCAGTTTGGAGGTGAGTTTACGGAGGTGGTGGACAGCTGAATGAGCATGTGCTTGTGCTTACACTCTGCTTCCCAGTCGCCGACCACACCGACTTCGGGTGCGTGTCAATCATCCTCCAGGAGCCCGACACCACAGGCCTAGAGGTGTACTACCCGCCGGCGCAGACATGGGTCCCCGTTCCTGTAGTTGAGGACGCGTTCGTGGTCAACATGGGCGACATGATGCAAAAGTACACGGGCGGCTACTACCGCAGCGCCCGGCACCGCGTTCTGACCAACAGAGACAAGCACCGTCACAGCGTCGCTTTCTTCCTCAACGGGAACCTCAAACTCAACGCGAAGGCCCTGGACGGCTCGGGAGTCGAGACAGTGGTGGGCGAGCACATCCGTGGCCGGCTGATTGAGACCATGGGTGCGACTGGCAAGTTGCTTCAGCGAGAGGTTGCGATTGCCTAGAGATTTACTGCGGGATGATATCGACTGCACTGTAGGAGAACAACCAAGCGAGTATGCTATGGATTGTGATTTGTGAAGCTATCTAAAGCGTACACACGTGACTAGCTAAGCGAACCATTGATGCCTGAGGCAGCATAAACAGAGATAGTCTTCAATAGACTCAATGTTTTCCCTGTCATCACACTCCAGCACTGGATTGTCCTGCTGAGAGATTCTACCCATATTTGCAAACATGCTATCTCTCCAATAGTGATAAACAGCCCTCAGTGCTACAGACCAGCTGTGAGACAATGCATTCAATCAATCGGCCGAGGATAATATCCTCGGACAATAGTAATACTCGGCGAATACCTCGCTCTTTTCTCTGGATTTATTCCCCTTTTCGACATTCAGAATAGTCAGGCCAATGGTTTGGATGAATAATCGCCCCTTCAGGGAGGACACTTGAGACAACTGTCCCGGCACATATCAGGGGTGACGCCAGTCAACTTCCACCTTTGGCGCGGAAAAGACCTACCTTTTCATCGTCAAAAGGCGCTGCTCAAAGGGTGAAATCTAGGGTGGTAGCTGTCATGTCCACCAGCTGCCCCATAAGCAGAACAGACTTGTATAATTGATTCAGCCTCTGCGAGCACTATGGAGATCTTAGCTGCAGCACTGTCGTCGTCATGGGAAGTGACGTTGAGCTGCGCAGCGCTGCTAGGCATCGTCTGCCACCAGACCTTCATGCAGCCCGTTGAGGTCGACAGCTGGGGATGGGAAATGGTGATCGCATACTTCAGCGTTCTCGGCAGTATCCTCGTCGGCTACATACTATCAACCGACTTCAGTCTCGCATCTGCACTCCTTCGCACCTACTCTGCCGGAGCGGCCTTTCTTGTGGGACTGTACGGCAGCATGCTGGTATACCGGGCCTTCTTTCACCGACTCGGCCGCTTTCCAGGTCCGTTTGCGGCGCGTTTGTCGAATCTATATCAGTAGGTAGACCCGAGATCCTCAATCTCTCCTGGATGGATCAGTTCCGCTGACTTTCGACGGCGAAGCTTGCTGTCCATGACGAGCACGAACATGCAGTACCACCTGCATGTCCAGACGCTCCATTCGAGATATGGCGACTTTGTGCGGACCGGGCCGCGCGAGCTCACGGTGCTGCGCGCTTCGGCTGTCGAGCTCATCTATGGCTCTTCGTCAAAGTGCACGAAAGGGACATGGTACGATCAGAACTCGGGAAACCCCGACAAAGTCGGCATCGAGAATGTCCGTGATAAGGAAAAGCACAGAATCCGCCGGAAGGCTTGGGACAAGGGGCTTGGTTTTCGAGGTATAGTCACCCAGGCAGTTATAGGATTAGGGGTTGTTTTCTTCTGACGGCTGTATAGCTCTCGACACGTATGAGACACGAGTATCAGGCAAAGTGAACCAGCTGATGACTCGGATTGGCACGGGCAGGCCGGTGAATATAACGCAAGACAACATCTTCTACGCCTGGGACGTCATGGGAGATATCGCCTTCTCCAAGGATTTTCATATGCTTCAGTAAGAGATGATCCACCATCCCTTCCAAAACGACCCAGGATGACCGAATGACGTCGATCACAGCACTGGTGTAGAGCATCCCGCCGTGGACGGTCTTCACTGGGCCATGGCAACCGCGGGAGTGGTCACGACCCTGCCATGGCTCATGAATATGCTGCGGGTCATCCCTGGCGCCACCGGCAGATTCGAACGCTTCGCGGAATGGTGCTACGAGCAGCTCGATCTGAAGCGAGAGGCACTAGCTCTGGAGAAAACCAGCGGCAAGACCGTGGAATCGCAAGACGTGATGTCTTGGATCATCAAAGCCCAGCAAGAAGGCGATCGATCAGCTCCCCCGACCGAGTCTGCAATCCGGGAGGACGTCCGCACTCTGATCTCCGCCGGCAGGTCGGTTCTCCCATCGCAGTCCACGCGCCAAGTTAACATACCCCCTACACAGCGATACCGTTGCTATTGTCTTCACGAATTTGTAAGAGCACAGCATCCCTCCCCTTCTCCCGGGCGAACCCCACTAATGAGCCCTACCCGCCACAGCCTCTACTTCATGGCCAAGCATCCCACCATCTACCAAAAGCTCCAGCGCCTCATGGAAGCCGAATTCCCCGACGGGCCCCGCGACTGGACCTACGAAAAGGCCAAGCGAATCCGCTACATCGACCACCTCATCCACGAGACCCTGCGCCTGCGCCCGCCCGCCCCCATGGGCTTCCCGCGGCAGACCCCACCCGAGGGCCTCCAGATCGACG